AGCGGCATTCCCGGTCGGGGGGAGATACAGCCGCACGGCTGGGAGGAGCTCCTGGCGTGGGGCACTGGCTCCCTGGAGCGGCGGTACCACATGTGTCTCCTTTGGCCGCAGCGCCTCCAGGGAGGACAGCCCTGCAGCTCATAGGGTTGCCAGATGGTTTCCGGAAAAATACTCAACATCAACAACATGCCAGGAAAAAGTTTGTTAAGCAAAAAAAAAACAAACAAACCACCGTGGCCTCTTTAAAACCTGCATGGTGAGGCTTTTTGGCCCTAACAGGTCCGCCCACCATCCTGCCTCCCTGTGCGGGCCGGACAGCTCCCCGGTAAGCCCGAGGGTTGCCAGGCTGCCTCCATATTGAGCCGGACAGCCTGGGATTTTTGCCTCCTGGCCGGGAAAAAATCAGAAAGTACCAGACATTTTAGGTGTCCGGTATTTCCTGAATTTTTTTACTGGCAATGCCGGCCTGTCCAGGTCAATACTGGACACCTGGCAACCATAGCGGGCACGGAAATCCACAGCCGCGGGCAGACGTGTATCTGCGCAGGGCTCTAGCCTTAAACGTGCACAGGGAACATTTGCCTGCTACATAACCTCCCCTTCCTCCACCTCCCCGCCTGGCCAGACCACCCGACCCCCAGCGGGGCCTCCAACCGCCAACCCCAGGAGGCTCAGGAATGGCTTCCCGGCCTCCACCCTTAGCGGGCACGGAAATCCACAGCCGCGGGCAGACGTGTATCTGCGCAGGGCTCTAGCCTTAAACGTGCACAGGGAACATTTGCCTGCTACATAACCTCCCCTTCCTCCACCTCCCCGCCTGGCCAGACCACCCGACCCCCAGCGGGGCCTCCAACCGCCAACCCCAGGAGGCTCAGGAATGGCTTCCCGGCCTCCACCCTTCTGGAGACTTCCGCCAATAGCCCTGCCGGTTGGCAGCATCTCTTGGGTTCCTCTGCCTCATGAAACGGCCTCTTGAGGCAGGGGGGGGGAGGGTCCAACTCAGGCCCAGCAGGACCAACAAAATGGCTCGACAGCGGGACTGGGGGTTGCCTCATCGAGTCGCCACACAAAGGCTCCCGGGGGAACCACCTCTCCCCGGGAAGCCCAGGCGAAGAGCTCCTTATCTGTCAGGAAGGGACGGTGGTGACCATTTTGCCACCCTGAAGCTCCTTCCCTGAGGACTCCGTACCCGTGTGATGGAGCCCTTCCCACCGTCTCTCCACGTTGGTCTCATCCCCGGCCTCCCTTCCTCCCACCTTCGGAGGTGTTGGAAAAGGCCGCATCGCGTCCCCCCTCCCGGGGCCCGATAAGAGGAACTCCTTATCTGTCAGGAAGGGACGGTGGTGACCATTTTGCCACCCTGAAGCTCCTTCCCTGAGGACTCCGTACCCGTGTGATGGAGCCCTTCCCACCGTCTCTCCACGTTGGTCTCATCCCCGGCCTCCCTTCCTCCCACCTTCGGAGGTGTTGGAAAAGGCCGCATCGCGTCCCCCCTCCCGGGGCCCGATAAGAGGAAACCGGAGCGGCGCCAGGTGGGGGAAACGATTCCCAGGCGTGGGACTTGCTTTGTGATTTGTTCGTTGCTCATAAAAAAAGAAAAGTGACCCCGGGGACAGCTTAATTGCACCCAGTAAAGATCAGCGCTTCTATAAACGAGATTTATGAGGGGCGCTCTGGGGGCTGGGCCTGGCCACAGATCTGATAAGGGCTCCGGCTCTCCTCAGAGGAGGGCCAGGGGGGCTGGTTTTATGCAGGGAACGCCAGGCCACTGTTGGACAATTTCTGCTTTAGCTAAGTTCATCTCACTTTTGTTCAGGGCGCAGAGCATCGAATCCGGGGGCTCTCCCCCTCGGGTCAAAGGGGAAATAATTCACACGGGGGGTGGCTCTTCCCCGGCTGTTTTCTCCCCAGACACTGCACACTTGCAGCCAAATCACTCCAGGCCACAAGCCCTTTGGCTAAGCCCTGCCAGGCCGGGGTAGCACGTGAATGGGCGCACCGTACTATGAAGTGAACTGAGGTGGCTGCCTCAGGTGCCAGACTATGGGAGGTCCCAGAGAACTGAGACCTTTCAAAGTTTTGGCCCAAGCGAGGGGGCAGGGCAGCGTCATTCAAGCTCCCTGCCTTGGGTGCCAAAATGTCGTGGGCCAGCCCTGGATGGGAGAGCCCCAGAGAAAAGGCAGAGGACACTGGGGGAAATGGGGGGGACTCCTCTCTGGGGAAGAACCAAGGCCGGAGCTAGGAGCATGTGGTCTCTAAGGGCGTGTCTACACAGCAGGGCTAACGCTGAATTAAGCGACACAATTTGAGCTATGGCAATGGCGCAGCTGAAGTCGAAATAGCTCAGCTCGGCTTTTGCCGCTGTCCGCACAGCAGGAAGTCCGAGTTACAGCCCTCTGCCTCCGACTTCCCTTACTCCTCGGACAATGAGGGTAACAGGAGTCAGAGTCAGACGCCCTCCAGCGCGACATTAGAACTGCTTGTAGTGTAGATGCGGATTTTGGAATCATGTCGCTTTCTCTGAAATAACACAGCTGTGCAGATGTTCCCTAAAGGTAGCTCAGGGCATGTCTGCACAGCGGGGTGATGTGCATGGGTGATTTCTAAAGCACACTAATTAGTCCTGTGGGTGTGCACTAAAATACCCCTTCTGTGCTTTCAAATAGTGTGCCTTGAAACATGATGGAACTGTGAGTCCGCACCAGCCGGGTCTGCACACACCCGTTACGGTGCACCCCCAGAGTGGCCACGTGGCTGGCAAGCCCCTGGTGAGATCCTTTGCAGTAGTTAATGGGTGTCACATGCACATGGATCAGCAAACACACAGCAGTATAGAGCTACGATTTCCTGTTGCGACTGGTATGTCTTTTGTTCCCCCAAACCCTGCCTGAGCTCTCCTTGGCTCCTCCCCAAACCCTGCCAGATCTCTCCTTGGCTCCTCCCCAAACCCTGCCTGATCTCTGTGCTTGCTTCCTCCCCAAACCCTGCCTGATCTCTGTGCTTGGCTCCTCCCCAAACTCTGCCCAATCTCTGTGCTTAGTTTCTCCCCAAACCCTGCCTGATCTCTGTGCTTGCTTCCTCCCTGAACCCTGCCTGATCTCTTTATCTCACTGCTAAAACCGAGTACAAAGGGAGACAGCTGAACTGGAGTTCATTTGCAAATTCATTACTATCAACTCAGTATGGATCGTAACGTATTAGCACACTACAAAGGCAATTTTCCCTCTCTTGCTATCCGCATTTCCATATCAGCTATTGTGAATAAGCCACTTCTAGCCAGACGCAATTAGCCTCCTTTACACAAGTACCCTCTTTCTGGTGTTGTCCTGATACATATCCCTGTCTCTGCAAACTCCACTCCAATTATTCTGATGAAATGGGGTTTACCACGAAAGCTTATGCCCTAATAAATCTGTTAGACCGGTCTATACTTATGCACCAGAGATCAAACTTCTGATGTTTGATTTAATGAGTCTAGTTAAGACTCACTAAATTGAATGCTGAGGGTGCCTCTGGTTGGCACCAGTATTCCTCGCAGTTGCAAGGAGTAAGGGATGCTGATGGTAGCCTTTGCGCCTGTCAACCTCCCACTGTGGAGATGGCACCAAGCTTGGCTTAAAGTAAGCCGACTCCAGCTACATGATTTATGTAGATGGAATTGCGTACTTTAAGCCGACCGTCTGGGTGTAGTGTACAATTCCCAGACGGTAATTTATTATTATTTATTATCCATCTACATAAATAATAGTCTCTAAGGGTAATTCTACACAGCAGGGCTATTTCGAGATACCGGAAGTATACCGAAATAGCTACCCCGCGTCTCTTGAACGTCTCAAAATAGTGGACGCGCTATTTTGGCATCCCTGTAACCCTCGTTCCGCTGTGTTAGACATGCCAAATTTCTGTGTAGATGCACCAAATTTTGAAATATGCTATTTCAAAATTCAGTCAAAATAAGATACACAATTTTCATAGCGCAAATTGCGTATCTTATTTCGAGTTTAGGGTGCTGTGTAGACACACCCTAGGGTGTTTTTGCACATCCTCGGTGTTTTTGCATTCACTGTGTTACTTATCACATTTCATACTATAGAAATCCATCGCTACCATCCCATTGATGAGTATGGTGTAAAAATACCATGGCTAGAGAGATCCTGAGACTACTCATGGATACACTTACCTGTGTGCGTTCTCTGATGTGCCTTCAGGTGGGAGCTCTTGGTGTAAACCTTTGTGCAGCCTGTAAAAACAGAAAAGAAACCCCGGTGGGAAACGTGTGTCATTCCACTACAGATTTAAAATGCACACACCTGAATTGCCAGAAGAAAAAAGGATCGACAAGAACGGCGGGTAATAGTTTACAACTTCGTATATGGGTGAGGCTCGTTTCTACAGCAACTAAGCTAGGACCCTTCTTCCCTGCATGGGCCAGTGGGGGAGGACACGTTTTTTTCACCCACAAGCTGAGCGCTTGCTGCAGCCAGGAGTACACCACGAGGGCAAATTAGGCATGCAAAGGAGCATCCAAGCTTTCTACCAGGATCCCTTCCTTAGTACCATCCTCACACGTGCGTGTCTCAACTGGGATGGGAGAACCAGTCTGAACAAGGTCAAATCAGACCCACGCTTTCATCCCAAGCGCCAATGGAACCTTTTACATAGGCAGCCTCAAAACTTTCACTTCTGCGTTGCTATTTGACAGCTTTGCTTTGCCATTGACTTTCTGGAGTCTAGACAGACTCAGAACCTGCCAAAATCCAGCACAAAAGGTGACAATCCTAGCTCCAGCTGAAGATGATGGATGAGAAAGCTGGACGCTCTCACAACTTTGTGAAGGGCTGGCCCCGTTTTCAATATTCAAGAGCAAATTAAACCATTTTCAAAGGACTGGCTTTGAGGGAGAAAATGCAGGTTCATCTACAGCCAGCCATCATTTGCAGAATTGTGTGCATTTCAATGATATTTTTGAGGAAAAGTGTCAAAGCATTTCAACCATCTCATTTCTTTCCTACAAGTACAAAATATGTCATTTCGATAAGATAAAACAATACATCAAAAGGAAACTTTCTTTTCAACTTATATAAGTTTAATTTTAATATTGGACTATATTTACATATTGTATAACTAATGTATTCTAATGTTTTGATCTTTAACTTACTGAGTCAGAATGAGTCAGCATAATTGAAAGGAAATACAGGTTGAACTTCTCTAGCTCTCACCCTTGGGACCTGACCCATGCTGAACCAGTGAATTTGCTGGACCGCGTATGGTCTATATTGTGTAGCAGTATTACCAAGCCTTCCACTGCTTGCGAGGCGCTTAGACAACATGTAGGGGTAAATCAGAGCTACATAACAACACAGAACACTGAGATCCAGGACAAATGGCTGTAAACAAACTTTATGGGAGTGCAGGAAACTTTGCTACACCCATGCTAAGCGGCCAGCTGGCTAACTAACATCATGCCAGACCATGGATGTTGCTGGAGCAGAGAGAGCCGGACTAGAGAGGTTCCACCTATACACTGGTGTTTCTGTATCAAAACCTTTAGGGAATTTCTATTCCATGAACATTTTTCAAGTTCAACTTCTCCGAATCAGAAGGAAAACAAATGGGCTGTGTCTACACTGGGCCACTTATTCCGGAAAATCAGCCGCTTTTCCGGAATAAGCTGCGAGCTGTCTACACTGGCCCTTGAATTTCCGGAAAAGCAACGATGCTCTACTGTACAAAATTAGCCGCTATTCCAGAAAAACTATTCTGCTCCCACTCAGGCATAAGTCCTTATTCCAGAACACTGTTCCAGAAAAGGGCCAGTGTAGACAGCCCAGTAGTCTTTTCCGGAAAAAAGCCCCGATCGCGAAAATGGCGATCGGGGCTCTTTTCCGGAAAAGCGCGTCTACATTGGCCACAGATGCTTTTCCGGAAAAAGGGATTTTCCGGAAAAGCAGCCTGCCAATGTAGATGCTCCTTTTCCGGAAAAACTGAAAACAGAATAGTATTCCGTTTTAAGCAGTTCCGGAAATTCATGCCAGTGTAGACACAGCCACATTGAAATATCAGAATCTCCCAAGATGGAAATTCTACTTTCCAATGGGCTTGATTCACACAATGCAGCTAGTTCAGCTAAACATCAGACTCCTCCAGAGACACATGGGCTGTGTCTAGACTGGCAAGTTTTTCCGCAAAAGAAGCTGCTTTTGCGGAAAAACTTGCCAGCTGTCTACACTTGCCGCTTGAATTTCCACAAGAACACTGATGATCTCATGTAAGATTGTCAGTGTTCTTGCAGAAATACTATGCTGCTCCCGTTCGGGCAAAAGTCCTTTTGTGCAAAAGGACCAGTGTAGACAGCTCAGATTTTTTGTGTGCAAAAAAGTCCTGATCGCGAAAATGGCAATCGGGGCTTTTTTGCGCAAAAGCGCGTCTAGATTGGCACGGACGCTTTTCCGCAAAAAGTGCTTTTGCAGAAAAGCGTCCGTGCCAATCTAGATGCTCTTTTCCGCAAATGCTTTTAACGGAAAAGTTTTCCGTTAAAAGCATTTGCGGAAAATCATGCCAGTCTAGACGTAGCCTTGGCGTTCAACAGAGCTGAAACCTTACTTCAAAACCTTTGAGGTTCCCTCCAGCCCCGACTCGCTTTCCCAACTCACTGCTCTCTTATGCTCTGTCTGGAAGGCAGACCTCAGCTTCCCTTACATTCACATCAATTCCGTTATTTCGAAATAACGGACGGCTTATTCCGACTTCTGTAAACTTCATTCTACGGGGAATAACGCCTCTTCTGAAACAGCTATTTCGAAATAAGGAGTATGTGGATGCTCCACTGCTGCTATTTTGAAATAGCCCCTCACCAGGGCCGTTCTAAGTTTTTCCTCCTGGAGCGCTACATCGAGATAGCCCGTTTGCATTCGGGGAGCCTGCCTCGGACTCATTTTGAGCCTTCCCTGCAGTGTAGATGTGCTATTTCGAAATAAGCTCTTTCGGAATAACTATTCCGGTCTAGCTTATCCCGAAATAACTGTGCAGTGTAGACATACCCATAGATATTACCGTGACCCTTCCATATAGCGTGCACATAGTTATCGCTGCTTTGCCCACCACTGCAATGCCTCCACCTCTGGGGCGGAGCGTGTCAAACAGCTACCTTGCCCAACTTTGGCAGAGGGGGCACGTGGTACAAATGCATGGTCCGTTTCAGACAGGCTAGATCTACACACATCGTCAAACCAGCCTAGCAGCCTTGGCCGTACCTGGGTAATCACAGTGATGGATCCGCCTTTTCTCCAGCTCTGGGTTGTTGCGCCTGTTGTATTTGGGGGTTGGCATGATAATGTGCCCATGGGAGAGGGCCCCGAGGCCGTTTGGCAGGGTGGAGATGTGGGGCGACTGTACCAGCTTCAGTCCAAAGGTGGCTTCATAGGAGGGCGGGGGTGAGATGGTGTTGATGAGCTCCGGCTGGTTCTCCGGGCTGCCAGGCTGGGAGTTCGGGGGCGAAGGGGGTAGGTTGAGTCCTGGGACGGGGTAGAACTGCCCCGTGAGGTTGAAGTTCCCCTGCGCTTGGGAGACACTTTGGAAGTGCTTCACTTGCGGACCGGGCTGGATGGGTCTGGGGAGCATGGCGCTGCCCGCAGGCATGGGGCTGCCGCCGATGGTGTTGATGGCCGTGGTGCTGCCCGTAGAGGGCGCCATGGGGGTGCCATCAGCCTCGCCGTTGCCAAGGGGCATCTGGTAGAGCTGAGCCTGCGAGGCGCCGCCCGACAGGGGGATCTCCGAGGGCATCTCTTGCTTGATGAAGATGTTGTTCACCGCCACCGACTGCGGCATGCTGAAGACACTGGTGAAATCCGGCAGCGTCTGCGTCGCGCCCGCCGCGGACGAGCAGGGCTGGGCAAAGCTGGTGCCGGGCTCTGGTTTGATCTGTGGGAA